CTAGGGTTTTAGATTTTTTTTTTTTTTTTAGGAAGCAAATCGCTCAAAAATCTGTCGAAGCCGCCAAGGGGAAGCATGGTGGCGGTGCTTGCGACAAAGAACCTCGATTGCAACAAGATTTAGAACGAGTGGGGTTCTCTCTAGGATCAAAAACTTGACTCTGGTACCATGCAGAAAAATATAAAAGACAAAGATATTATTCATCTAATTCTAACCTCTTAAATAGAGATTATGAGGTATTACAAAATAGACATGAGATAAAGAGGGTGTTTGAGGCGGCTTATTTTTTGGTCAAACTAGCTTTTAAGCTAGCTTTTTTTATTTCTACCTGTTTGGTAAAATACAAAATAAGTTAGTTTATAAATCATATTTTAAAAACCTGATATACCTCAGCTTTTGAAAAACTAACTTATAAGCTCACCTAAATAAGTTAGGTTTAACCAAACAAATTACTATACTACCCAAATAATTTTTATGATATTTTAATCATACAAGTTAAAAACCACTAAAAGTTGGCATAACTTATATGTTTAAAAAAATAAGCATTCCCAAACACCCTCAAAATCATATCTAATCACATCTCGCAATATCTCAACAATATCTCATGATATGTAATAATGTCTCAATACTACTAATATCTAACAATTACATATGAGCAATGTTACAAAAACTGCTAGGTGGCCTAGGCACAGAACCCGATGCCGGGAGCCTATGCGGGGCCTAGGCATTTTCCTAACTTTTATATTTTTTTAGTTACAATCAATGTTATCAAAAGCACTAGCCACCGCTAGGTAAACTGGTGCCCAGGGTCTATGACTTTTTTTTTGTTTAAGTGGCAGCAGAGGAGGTTTTGGTGAAGGTCAGCCAAGATGGAGGAGGCATAGGTAGTTAGTAGAGAAAACTAGAGGATGTCAGAGTACGTGGAGGCAACAACAAAGGAAATCACAATCAAAACCTAGCAATGCAGTCTACGTAAGTGGTCTCCACTCCCCTAGACGCTCTGAAAACCTAGGTGGGAGAAATCTAGACGGCCTAAGTACAACCTAGACTTGGGCAGGAGTCCAGGTGGGAGCTTTATAAAACATTGAGTAGTTTCTTTACCGTGAAAGCTCTCCTCCTCACAATATGTATTAATACACATCCTATTGGCATCAAGTATGTTCTATTTTTAACTCATCTCCTCCCAATAGAATATAAAGACCAAATTTTACTATGATTGCATAAATATTTTATATTTGAAATTCGAACCAATCAAGACTAGAGACAAGCAAAATATTAATGCATGCACAGCTATATCCAGTATTTTTCGAACACTAATACTCAAGCTATGTTGAAAATGCAATCCAGTAGCATCTAAATAGCAGAAGTATACTAGGTCCATAAAACTTCCAAGTAGCCCTCCCCCACCACCCACCCCCCAAATAACAAGCAAAAGGTAAATGACCTTATTATTCAGTTATTCTTTTATCAAAACCATTCACTGCATGAACCACGAAAATGGTCAGTCCTACAATCTACTAACAAAGCCAACAAAACCATATCAATCATTTATAAGCTAAGGAAAAGAGAGATTCCAACAAGCCCACTACCATGCTCACCCCCTATTCCCTCAAGACAATATCTTAAAGCACTAATCAGCAAACTTCCGTAACCACGAAGGACACATATTCTGGGTTGTGAACTTTCAAGGGTGTAATGGACAAGGTTTCTGCTCCCTCAGTAACCCATTTGTACAACTCTTTCTATACATTAAACCTACTAAACTAGAGGGAAAGAACCTAAGCATTCTAACATCATTATTGAGTTAAAAGATTCATTAACAAATAATTAGAGAAGGCGTATTTACCCTATCAGACATCCTATCTTTATCAAATAAGGATCCACCTGACTATTTATATAACAGACATCTAATGTTGAACATAAGTCTAACAACAGATGGACTATGGTAACCTAACATATCAAATTTAAGGGAACAAAAAAGAAATTTCCAACATCCAATTACCAAGAAAACATCCGTTGCCTCCAACTCCACCCAAAGCAAAAATGCAGCCTGAGCTTTCTCTACTGTCTTCGGCCGACCAGTGAGGCACTTGGCAACAATTGAATCACATATTTCCTTCGCATACCTAAATACCACAAAAACAAACATAATTGAACTTGAAAATACCATCCCCCCCAAAAAAAAAGCAATGCAGGCATTAGAATAACGCTTTTTACAATCCATACCTTCCAGCATCAGCATCCGCCGCCTTCAAAAACGCAATTAACGCATCAAGCGCCTTATCCTGTACTGGTGCATTAGAATCTGCCACTGTTTTTCTAAACAACGGCCCTAATCATCACAAAAACAGGAAAAAAAACCGTCAAATAAGTGCAAAATTTCTCAAGTCCGATCTAGGGAAACGAGAACTGCATCAAACGACACCAGCATTCACAGATCGAAACCGATTCAGATGGGATCAGAAACTTACCGAAGTCTCTGAGCCTTGGATCCTTCGGATCTGTGATCGCATCGCAAACGGCGGCGAGATCGATGTTAGCATCGTTCCTAACTTTCCAATTCTTATGAAGAAGCCTCTCATCCCAAGGCAGCTTCTTGGCCTCCTTCAATAGCTTCTCATCCTCCGTCGACATTGAAATTTACAGCACGAGATTTAGAGATCGATCGATCGCCGGCCCAGGAAAAAAAATAAAAAAAAAGACGAAATTTTGGGAGGGATTTGGAATTTTTTTTGTTGTGGGAGAGAAAAGGAAGCGGAGATTTGTTCTGTTTGGGGGTAATTTTTGATTGAGGGTGGCACGTGAGAGACGGTAGGTTAAGTGGAGGAATCGCACGTGCAAGGGTTGCGGGCAGGGTCACAGCGGGAGATAATTGTCGGCTCCTGCCGAGGTTTGGGTTTTGAAAGAATTTGAAATTTGGAGGAGGGGATGGGCGACACGTGGTGGCCTGTGAGTGGATGATGGCACGGTTTTTTTTATTTCCACTGGCGATGGGAGCGGGCTAAGCGTGTGGAGCACTTTTAAGTACCTTTGAGGGGGTCGTTAACGGGTCGCATTACTATTTTTTTAGAAAAGAACCTGGTATTCACACGGATCCAGTGTTAAAATACAATTAGAACATAAAACAATGATCTTAAACTCATTAGAGTTGTTGGGCTATGGTAAAGTCTTTAAGATAGTTTTTGAGCTAATCCAGGTTCCCAAGATCCTTGTCAAAACTTCAGAGTTTTTATTCTAAAATAGTGTATGTGAGATTTTTTTTTTTAATGATTATTTGAGTTTGCTCATCCTGAGAGTGTTAAAGTTGAATTTTTTTTAAATGAAGCCACCACAAAATATGATGGTTTTAAGGGGAAATGTAAGATTTGAAATGAAACTACCACAAAATATTTGATTTTTTAGTGAGCTAGCATCAAATTTTTATTTTTCATAAAACCACCATGATAATATGAATTATTTGCAAAGTGGCACCACATTATGGTTTTCATCCATTTTCTCTTAAATAAAAGTACAAAATAAGCTAGAATAAACTATGTTCAGAACAAATAAACTTGGTAAGAGGTGAGTGGTAGGTGTTTGGAGGGAATTACAATTTTTCGAGTGAGTTTATTAACTTTTAGAGGGAAGGAAAGCGTTAATGTTAGGATCAGAAAGTATAATAATGATAGGCAGATCCAACATAAGGGCATTTTAATATTTAACAGAATAATGTTGGAAAATTTGGCTTGGTAACACTTTGCTAATGACTTACTAAATTGGCAATTTAAGACCGGTGACATTATGGTATTAAGGTTTAATTAACAAATTAGTAATTTTTGCAATACCCCTTAATCAGTTTAATTTTATTTCAATTAGCAATTATTTTTACTGCCAATGAAAATCTTGCACAAAAAATTAGGCCT